AGAAACCCCTAGTGGATTCTCAACACAAATTATTAATAAAGATAAAGGCAAAACCTCACCTTAAAAAAAAAAAATAAAAAAATAAATGTTGTTTAGTTACTTTTCACCAACCTAGTAGAAGTTAAAAAAAAACAAGTAATTTTGAAAATAAAATATTCTTTACTAACAATAATTTGAAAAAAAAACTTATTGTGTACTATGTATTAACTTTTCAACATCTGCACCAAATTGGTTTTCATCAAATTCTTTACTATCGAATTCTTCATCATCCATATTTTTATCCATATTTTCATCTATATTTACATTTTCATCTGTATTCTCATTATTAATATTTTGCTCTATGTTATTTAATTTTATAAAATTTTCAAGCTCTAAGTTTGATGTTCAATTTCAGGATCAGCAATATCAACTAAATTATCAGAATTATCAAAATTTTCTTTATTATTAACCTCAGAAAATAAAGTAATATTTTGAAAGATGGTTTGTATTTCTTCTTTTGTCAAATCTAACCCATAATAATGTAGTTCTTGTTTAGCATTTGATATTAAATAAGAGCTTATTTTTATCATTGACTCAAGATTTTTTGTTCCTAAATTATTACATCGATCTCCTAAGTACCATCCACAATGTGACTATATATGCTCACAACTTGCAGCATGAGGATGTACTGAAAACAATTTAATTGCTAAGGAAGAAAGAGTACTGGGTTTTGTTTTGATACCATCTCCAGTAGTTTTCCACCATCTACTTGGACTATCAATAGTTAACATATAAGACCTATTATAGGGTTCTTCATTGCAAGCATATTAGTGTAATTGTGCTTTTAAAATTTTAAGATCACCTTTTTTTGCATTAGATTTTGTCATTTTAGTCTATAAGCGGCCTGTAATTCCAGCTATACGAGCGAATTGTGATTGTTTAATTCCAGCACCCACAATTTTAAAAAATATTTTAAGAATTTTAAAAATTTAATAAATAATATTATGACAGTATTATGACTAATGAGAAAATTAACTGATTGCAAAATTTAAAATCTTAATTTAGAAATATAAATCTTATCAAAATCTACATATAAGTTATATCTTCATTACTAATTCTAATCTAAAATTCTAACTAAACTCTTAAAAAAATGAAAAAAAATCAAGAAATCTAAAATATAGTCAACTCTTTCTATAACGAACTGAAGATTTTGGAAGAAAAAGTTCGTTATAGAGAAATTATTATGTTTTCTTAAGAACCTATGTAACCTTTTATATTAAACTATTGTAAAATTCAAAATTTTAAGTTTGTTATATTCAGTATAGGTTCGTTATATTCAGAGTTGAGTGTATCATATTAAAATAGGCTCAAATTTCAGCATTAGCATGGTAATAAATTAAATATAAATTAAGTACATACTATGATACTGAGGGTGTAAATAATATGCCAATATATATTCATCTTAATCAAATATACAAAACCTTTCATTAAAGATTGAAATACATTTTCGATAAAACATTAAATGGAGATCTTAAAAAATATTTTTAATAGCGATAGCTAGTCTGAAATAATCTAAATAACAATCAGCTAAATTAGCTGTTTTACTTTCAAGGCATATAATGGTATCTTTAATTGGTTTTAAGACCTTAGAAAGATCTAAAACATTATCAAAAAATCTACGTGATTTTAAATATGTTTTAATAATTTTGCCCATTTTGTTATTAAAGAAATGTGGATTATGATCTAAAATCTTCAAATATATTAGTTAAAATTATTATATATATAAATAAAAATATCTAATTTTCACCACAAGTGATCATCACCTGTGATTTTCAATATATAACAAAAACAACAAAATAATTTTCGTTAAAGCAAAAAGTAATTTTTTTATAGTTAGAGTTAGAGTGAGGTTTGGGATAAAGTAAGAGTATTGCTTATAGTAAAATTTTGCAAGGAATTTTTTTTGTTAGAGCTCCAAAAGTGGTTTTATAAGCAGAATTTTAAAATAAAAATGATACAGATGATGATCACTTGTAGTGGAAATTAGCAAATTTTTATATAAATATATAATGATTATTAAATTATTATTTTAAAATATAAACATACTTACTTCCTCTAAATTAATTTTATAGCGATATACTGAATATATACATTTATACGCACTAGTCCAACGAGTTTTTGAATAATTTTTTAATCTGCCATCATATGTATTTTTGTTTATAATTAAAAAAATGTAATTGATATGATGAATTAAAAAATTTACAATTGCAGAACATTGGTGAAGAATTTTTTTTGCAAAATTGCATTTTAAAATATTGCTAGAAATTAGATTCATACAATGTACAACACATTGTAAATTTAAAATATGTGGGTATTGATTAGTAATTAATTGCCGTGCAAGTGCACAGTTAGAGCCTCCATCAGTAACTATTGCTCCAAATTTATTTACACCAAATTCATCAAAAATTTGTTGAATACAATTTCATAAAGTTTTACCAGTATGACTTTGGTTAGATAAATCAAGAATTTTCCAGAGATATTCTCGTCCACTAGAAGTATGAATTATGAAATTCTATAACAATGTTTTATTTGGGTCTGTCCTTCCATCTAAACCTATATTAATAATTTATTAGTTTAAATAATTTATTCTATTAATATTATAGAATATTTTAATTACAAACATACCAAGAGTTAAATTGTTGGCTTTTTCTTTAACTTTTATAATATTTTGATTAATTTTAATTATTTCTGCATTTAATAATCATTCGGCAAACAATTGTCTTGATGGAGGTTGATAATCTGGTTGTAATTCTCATAGTGCATTGACAAAATATGGATTACTAATAATATGAAAAGGTATATTACATACTATAAATACCTTTATTAAAGCTGAATTAATATTATCTACACATTGTGGAGTTAATTTAGTACTTTTTAAAAATTCAGATAATGATGCCTGATTACTTGTAAGTATTCTTTTTTTTTTGTTTAAATTAGTACCAGGTATTGTTTTTTGTGATACTGCTTGGCTATGACCTTGTCGCTCAGCAACAACTTGAGCATAAAAGTCTATAACATCTCTATTTTGATTAAGACAATCTAAAGCTAAATGTTCTTCTAAATCTACAGATTTTGTACGTGCCCAAAAGGATCTACATACTTTGCACTGTCCTGAACAATGACCTTTTACAGAAGCACCTTTATTAAAAAAGTTCCAAACTCTTGCAGGTGGCTGTCCAGCAGATTTTTTTGAAATGGATTCTTGAGAATTTTTACCTTGAGAATTTTCGGCTTGAGAATTGTCACCTTGAAAATTTTTGCCTTGAGAATTTTCGCCTTGAGAATTTTCACCTTGAAAATTTTCATCTTGAAAACCTTCATCTTGAAAATTTTCATTTAAATATTCGAAATAAGATTCATTCATTTTATACGGTAATATGAAAAAAATGATTTCAGATTTTTTTTTTTAAAAAAAATCTAATTGATCTGGGGCATGAATTTATAAGAATTTAAATTCATTAATTGAATATAAGTGAAATAAACTAAGCTTATTTAATATCAAGCCTGTAAAAGCTTGAATTGATAATTTTAATAAAATAATTGTCTGTGTATGCAATATTACTATTAATGTGATAGTTTATCACAATCAAAAAAAGAAACAGCTCCAATGCTGTTACAGATGAATGCTATTATAAATCTTAATGGTGTAAAATTATAAGATAACAACCGATAGAAGTGCAGATTAAAGAAAAATATGCAATGACAGTAGTACTGAAGTAAACTGACATACAGAATTAAGTACTAAAATATGCTAGAAGGATAATATATTAGTATATAAGTTCTAATATTAGAAAGATACGAATATAAAATTCTTATCACCTACCCAAAAGACAGAACTATATGATTCTATTATTTCTTTCAGCTTGCTTTGACAAACAGAAGATAGTTTGTTTTTTTCACAGGGTATCTCCATCATTCTGACCAACTTGGTTAATCATACTATATAGTTTTAAATTTCATTTTTAGCTTAAATTATTTGCTAGAATAATCCAAATAAATAAAATGTATATTATGTATGTAATGTGAATATCTTTTGAAAAAAAACTAAAACTTGAATATCTTCTGATAATATCAGTGCAGCTAAAAGATAAATTGATCATTGGTGATGAAAGATAAGAATTGTCTAATTGAATTAATGAAAAAAGATGCATAAATCAATAAATAATTTTTGTACTCACCTGTTGATTAATTAAACATTAATGGTAAGCCTGTGTTATCATTATATTCAAATATTGATTCTTGCATACTAAGCCATTAATTGGCATAATTAGATTCTATTTAATGATAAAACTTGTAAAACTTTAATTGTAAGGTTCAAATATGTAGATCTGTTTATTATCATTATCAATAAACTGGTAATGAAAAAAAATTAAATTTTTTTTTTATTAATTAAAAAAAAACTTATGATTGTCAAAACTTGATCTTCGTTTATCTGCTAAATATAATAAAATTAATTGTGTTAAATCTATAAAATCTGAATAACCAAGCTCGAAATACAAACTTGAATTTAATTATTTTCTTTATAAGGCTAGTGCATACCGGAATAAGATGATATATAAATTTTACTAAGTGTGTAGTTATATGGCATCTTAAGAGTTTACAGAATCTTGATTAAATAACATATTGAATAGAGCAAAAATTCAAGCATATTTATTTTTTAACATTTATATAGCATAAAATTTTCACTAAATTATTTAACTTCTTATCCTTGTTCCACTAATAGCACCCCTCCACATCTTCACTTAATATACTATCCTATTGCACTACTTTTCACGACTTTGATATTTTGGTATTTTATTTTCTTGAAAAGAAATTTTACAAATTAAAATTTAAAACTTTATGTACTGATTACAATATACAGTATTATATAATCACTATGAACAATAGATGCAGGTTAGTTATTGTACTGTATGTAATGTAGCGATATTACCCAAGCTATTTGGGATATCTCAAATCATGTAATGATTTTATTGTTTGATTTTGACAAATTATTATTAAATAACTATATTTAGACATTTAGTTATATAATACGTATTTATTTCATTAAGCATTAGGCATTTAGTCATATAATATTTATTTCGACAAGCATTTAGACATTTAGTCAAATTTAGGATTTCGACAAAAAATAATATCATGTCGAAATATATTTAGACACTTAATTGTCTAAATATTTGACTAAATAAAGTATTTCGACTAACAACATTAACCTGGAGCAACCCAAAACAAAGCATAGGAGTAAGTCTAATTTAGTGGAGTAAGTTGAAGATTGGTTCAACTCAACACATTAACAGCTCTAGATATTAATAAAAGTGGGTAGCATTAACGATTCTCTTTATAAATTACCAAAATTTTTTACAACTCTGCTAGCTGCCATTAATACAGTAATACAGGAAATGAAACCTGGATTTTTTATTATAATAAGATACTGTATATTTTAAATAACAAATTCTGATTCAGGTTTCACTTTACATAAACTACTCAGATATTTTGAATCTGGATATTCCTTTACGATATTCACTGATTATGTAAAACGTGATTTATTTTCTTGTAAACAAAAATTTGATCTGCCAAATCAGAATCAATATAGAAATCTGGTACAACATAATTATTTACTACGTATTCTGATTCTGATATCTGCCTTATTAATTCAGTCACTGTCCTATTCTGCAAAATTTTCTATTTGTAAAAATTTGATCTGCCAAATCAGAATCAATATAGGGATCTGTCTGATATA